GAGAGAGATAGCCCAGCGCACAGTGGGCCAGAAGACCGGTGGAGGCGGCCAAAACTCTAGACGCGTTTTGAGCTCCAGAGTCGCTAAACAGGACTCGACCTGAACGTGTGACCGCACCAATGGATTGCTCTCCGGACGAGGAATCCATTGGTGGGGTCACACGTTCGGTTCGAGTCCCATTTAGTGACTCTGGAGCTCAAAACGCGTCTGGAGTTTTGGCCGCCTCTACCGGTCTTCTGGCCCACTGTGCAGCGCCGCGTTCGTCTCTGACGTCACGCGGGCCGGCCAGTGGTGGTCGTGGGTGTCACTGCGTGTCGCTGTCGCTCCGCTAGAAGATTGTTTCCTCGCAGAAGTGGCTGTTCGCTGTTACTGGCAGTATTAATTTTCGTTATCGCGTTGGGCCGGGCCCCGCGGGCGACGGAGCCAAGCGAGGCCAACTCGTGCCCGGTCCAGCTGGCTGCCTCGCCCGCTGAATCTTCATACAGAGTCTCTCTCTCTCTCTCTCTCTCTCTCTCTCTCTCTCTCTCTCTCTCTCTCTCTCTCTCTCTCTCTCTCTCTCTCTCTCTCTCTCCTAGTAGCCTAGTAGGCCCACCGCGGCGCCCCGTGCCAGTTATCTCCATGACTTGGCTTGGCGACAAAACCCCGCGCGCGGGAAAGAGAGAAAGAGAGTTGCAGGAGCGCGGCAAAAGAAATGTTTCGATGTGGCGGTGCCAGCGCAGCCGGGGGGGCCCTCATCACTTTTAGCGGGGATGGGGGGTTGGGGGAAGTACATGCAGCGTTACGCACCGGCATTGCGGCTCGCTGAGCGCTAATGGCAGTCACCCCTCCTCCCCCCCTCCCCCCCTTGCATGCGTGGGTCATACACGGAGTGCTGCAGCGCCCTGCAGCCCTTCAGGCAGGCCGATTATGCGCTTATGCCGTGACACTGTGGGCCTGGCGGGGGCGGGCACAAGGGCCGGCGGGCCGGGCCCGTGGACGTGGAGGGCGCCGTCCACGACCTCAAAGGCGAGTCCCTGGAGGACCTGCCCCGGGCCGAGCCGCCGGAACGCCCCAAAGGCCCTCCTGAACAACTCTCGAAGCATCGATTTGGAAGCCTTGAACCGCCGCGCGGCTGAACATCGACCCGCCGAGGCTCCTCGAGGCCTGCACGACGGCGGCCTGCACGGCGCTCTGTCTCTCTCGCACTCACGGGGCGTCCCGTCGGGGTGCGAGAGAGAGAGAAGCATAGGCACTGTTCGGAGTCGCCCGATGTGGCTCTCCTCTCCAGATCGCCGGCCGACTGGTCGGTCACTCGGGCGCACGGAAGGAAGGGGGAGGGAGGATGATTTGTGTTGCGTGGTGAATGCCGGCCGGGGCAGGCAGGCAGGCAGTCAGGGCGGGCGTATCGCATGCAGCCCAGCAGGCAGGCAGCATGCAGCGCGCAGCGTGTGTTGTGACAGGGGTAATGCAGACCGATGCAGACACAGTGGAGAGGAAGCCATCGTCATGAGTAAGGTGGAGGCTGGCCGAGGCTGGCCGCGGCAGGACTGAACCACCCGTCTCTCTCGCACCCACAAGCGGAGCGGCGGAGCCCCACGAGTGCGAGAGAGACAGAGCGACGCGATGCCGCGGCCTGTAAACACTCGCGGGCTGACAGGCGGCGCGGCGGTCCGTGAGGCGAGGCAGGCGAGGCAGGCGAGGCACAGTGGGCCAGAAGACCGGTGGAGGCGGCCAAAACTCTAGACGCGTTTTGAGCTCCAGAGTCGCTAAATGGGACTCGAAGCGAACGTGAGACCCCACCAATGGATTGCTCTCCGAACGAGGAATCCATTGGTGGGGTCACACGTTCGCTTCGAGTCCCATTTAGCGACTCTGGAGCTCAAAACGCGTCTAGAGTTTTGGCCGCCTCCACCGGTCTTCTGGCCCACTGTGCGAGGCAGGCGAGCGTGCTGACGTACTGCCGTGTCGGACAGGACAGCCATTGCCATTGCCGCGCCGTGATGCCGTGATCCGCACCGCGGACGGGCCAGCCACGCCGATATATCGGACAAGCCACCGGGCGGGGCGGGGCGGGGCGGCGGTGTAGCGCGAAATTAAATTACTCGTGAAGCGGGGCGAGAATGGCAGAATGTTTTGGCCGGGCTCTCACCATCGGCGGATCAAGCGATCAAGCGCGGAGCCGAGGCTGCCTGATAACCAGGATTGGGGTTCGAGGAAGGCTGTGTGTGTGTGTGTGTGTGTGTGTGTGTGTGTGTGTGTGTGTGTGTGTGTGTGTCTGTGTGTCTGTGTGTGTGTACATGTGCGCACGGGGAAGCACTCGATGCAAAAAGAAAAGAGAGAGAGAGTTTTATCCGGAAGAGTGTTATCCGACGGCAGAAATAAACAGCTCGGCACCACTGTGGAAAAGGCGGCGACGCACTAATGCACCGCACGTTTAGCATCCACCGGGACTCGAACCCCGATCCCCTGGGGAGAGGGGCACCAAACTGCGCCAGCGTGCGCAGGCGTGCGAAAGCCACCACGCGGACAACCGCAGCCACTGACTCCGAGCCGAGCGGGTTGCGTCCCGCGTACCCGAGAGCCGCCCGGCGGTCGTGCGGTGTGGAGCGGAGAAGCGGACCCCGTCCCGTCCCCGGCGCTCTGCCATGTCTGTTCGATCATTTCGAACACGTCCATGCCGTTTGGACCAACCCGCCGCGCCGGGCTTGTGGTGAGCGAGCGGTGGGGTGGCGGGGGAGGGGGAGGGAAGGGGTGGGGACAGGGTCGCGGTGACCGGGGTGGACCCCGCTCCGTCGCCAGCCCAACGGTGCGTGTTGTGACGCTATCGAGATAGTCTCCGCCTTGATTATCGGAGGGACTCGGATCCCCCCCCCTCCCCTTCCCCCGCCGCCCGGCCCTTGCGGGCCAGTCCGTCCGCCAATCCCGGCGCCAGACTCAAGACGGCGCCAACACTGTCGCGGAAACGAAAAAAGATGGAAGAGCGAGGTTGGGAGGGCAGGCCGCCCCGGCCGGGCAGACCGGGCAGGCTGAAATTGATTAGGATGAGAACGATCGGATTTATCTCTCCGGCAGGGCAGAGGCGCAGGGCCCGCCGTGGGAGGCGAGCCGACAGGGCCTGCGTGTGTGGCGGGGTCTAGGGCTGGGCGGTTTTATATTTTAATATCAATACCCAATATTTAAAATATTGAAATTCTCTCAATATCAATATTTGTATTGATATTGAATATATTGACTGTCAAATAAATATTGAGATATTGAATATTGAAAAAATTGAAAATTGAAATATTGAAAAATTGAACTATTGAAAAACGCAAATATCGGAAATAGTAGATCGAGTAAAATGAAAGGAATAAGACAAAAAAAGGTAGGAAACGATGATATTCCATATCATACATTGAGAGCAGCCAGGCTCGGATGGCCCCAAAAGGCCCCGGCAGATAAGACCGCAAAAGGCCCCGATCATCATTGTTTTACCCTTCATGACCAACTTTGTGAGGCTGCCGCTCCCACACAAGTTTTGGTCAACGTCTTCCCTATACAGGGCATGAAAGAGTAGGGTCTTGAGAATACTAGGACGTTGAGGGAGGCCGTTTACGGCAACTAGATTTGGGCACAGGGCCGTCCAAAGTCAGCAAAATAAGCAAATTTCCGAGATTCGACCACTTTTTGACCAAATTTTGGGCCCAAAATCGTTGCGGCAAAGGCAAAATCGTTGTGGTCAACGTCTTCCCTATACAGGGCATGAAAAAGGTCTTGAGAATACTGGACGTTGAGGGGGCCTTTTACGGCAACTAGATAGACACAGTGGCCGCCCAAAGTCAGCAAAATCAGAAAATTTCCTAGATTCGGCCCTTTTTGACCAATTTTGGTCCCCAAATCGTTGCGGTCAAAGGAAAAATCGTTGTGGTCAACGTCTTCCCTATACAGGGCATGAAAGAGTAGGGTCTTGAAAATACTAGGACGTTGAGGGGGGCCCTTTTACGGCAACTAGATTGGACACAGTGGCCCCCCAAAGTCAGCAAAATCAGAAAATTTTCCGAGATTCGGCCACTTTTTGACCAACTTTGGTCCCTAAATCGTTGCGGTCAAAGGCAAAATCGTTGTGGTCAACGTTTCCCTATACAGGGCATGAAAGAGTAGGGTCTTGAGAATACTAGGACGTTGAGGGAGGCCTTTTACGGCAACTAGATTGGACACAGTGGCCGCCTTCGCACATTTCTTAATGAACCTACGGGACGGGCCAAAGTTGCCGATGTATATCGCTATTTTCCTGTTTTTTCAGTATGGTCCCTTTAAGATGAGGTTTCATGGGTTCATATGGAATACAAGCAAGTTCTAGAACGGTGGTGAAACAAACAAGGCTAAACAAGCCACATTTGCGTTGAAAAACAGTCGTTTAGCGCTGGATTGACTTCAATATCAGATATTGAAATATTGAGATCAATATCATGTATTGAGATATTGAGACCAATATCAATATCGAATTTTGATATTGGTCATTCAATATGCGATATTGAAATTTCAATATAAAAAAAATTTAATTGAAGTCAATATATTGAAAAACGCCCAGCCCTAGCGGGGTCTTGACCTTCCCGCTTCCCGGTGCACTCTGCTAATGGTTTTTCCTCTGCTGCAGCGCGGCGACGACTGCCGAGTGATGTCGCGACGCCTCGCCATGCCCTCGTCGCTGTACTGGTGCTGACTTCGGCGCTGCTGGCCCCCGGGGCAGACGACGACCACGTCGACGGCCTCGGCCACCGCCGCCGCCTCCACCGCCGCCCCCTCCACCGCCGCCGCCTCCACCGCCGCCGCCTCCACCGCCGCCACCGCGACGGACGGGGGCACGGCCCGCCCCCCCTTCGCGGTGCCGACGGCCGCCTTGACCGCCCCACCTTCACCACCGCGGCCCCCACCGCGGCCTCGACGGCGACCTCAGCGGCGGCCGCCGCCACTGCCCCAGCGCCCCAAGGCCGCGGCCACGGCCACGGACGCGGCCACGGGGACAGCCATGGGGGGGCCACGGCGGCGGCGGCCACCGCGACGGCAAGCACGCCCCAACCGCTGCGTGTGCTTCAAGACGACGGTGCGCTGCATGTCCTGCGTGGACCACGTGCCGCGCGTGCCGGCCCAAACCCCCATCTGTGAGTGCACTGCATCCTTCCCGGGGCGTTATTTAAACCGCGGCGCTTTACCGCTCCACGCCGCGCTTTACGGTGCTGCCGCAAGCCCTACTTGTTGACGGCGGGGCCGAGGCGGAGCCAGCCACTATCTGGCGGCCACACTGCCGCACCTCGCGGCCGCCCCGCCCCGCCCCGCCCCGCCCCGCCCCGCCCCGCCCGCCCCGCAGCTTGATCGCGAGTCCGTTTTAGGACGGGCAACTTTTGACGGGCCATTGCGCGAGCCCCGCCATTACGGCGGAACGGCCGCCGCGCACCGCGGCCCAGAGAGGAAGAGAGAGAGACAGAGAGAGAGATAGAAAGACACCCCGGCACCCCGCGGCGTGAACCGCGGAGCGCGCAGACTATGGAGATAGGGTGGCGGCGCCGCGTCACCGAGTCAGCACCCCAGTCGGATTCGTGGCCCCGTCTCTCTCTCTCTCGCACCCCCGCACAACTTCGTAGAGTGCGAGGGAGACGGCGCGACGCGGTGGTGCTAAACGGCTGCAAAGCGACGCGTTACGTGGTTGCCGGATAATCCGGGCTGGTCTTGGCGGCCGCGCCCTGCCCGCGCCCTGCCCGGCCTGACGGGCCTCTTTATCTTCTTACTCCCTCTGCCAGGCAGCCAGGCAGCCAGCCAGCCAGCTCGGCCGACTTTTTGGTCGACTTTGATTTTTCGCTCAAGTGAGCTGGTCTCGGCCGCGCGCCGCGCTCCGCCGCCGCGCCCCGCCACCCCTCGCTTTGACACAGAGATGAATGGCGGTGCCCCCACCCCCACCCCTTCCCACCCCCAGCAGGGCAGGTGAGCTTCATCGCTATTCATTCCTCAGATATCGCGGGGAGAGCTGCCCTTGTCCCGCTATTCCTGGTCACCCCTTCCTGTTCCGCCCCTTCCCCCGTCCACCGCCCGGCTGGCCCGGCTGGCCCGGCTGGCCCGGCTGGCCATTGACTCTCTATAATGGCCCCGGAGGAATTTTTATATCTTTCCCATAAGCGCCATTCATTATGCAAAAGACATGCGCGCCCTGGGGAGAGGGAGGAGAGAGAGAGAGAGACGAGGTTGCCTCTCTAATTCAATGATAAAGTGGTTAACGTTTTCCGCCAGATTAAAGGTCCGGCGTCTTGGGAGCGGAAGCGAACCGTCCGGGGGAGTGAGGGAGAGTGAGGGAGGGGGAGGGGGAGAGAGAGAAGAGAGAGGAGAGGGGCCGGGGGGGGGAGGGGGGAGAGGGGAGGGGAGGGAGAGAGGGAGGGAGGGAGGGAGATGGAGAGG